ACCCATTAACAAATCAAAGCATTCATGACAAGAAAAAAATCAAATAAATATAAACTAAAAATCAAATCAATTCTCACGGGTACTGTTAAAGACGAGCTCTTGTCCTGCCTACCTCCTTCCTCAGGGCTGTGGAGTGGACAGTGGACTGTCCAGCTGGTCCTCATGATCCTCACAGCTCAGGGACTCGGCCTTTGGAAAGGTCTGCGCAGTTGAGGTTTCCCCTTAATCAACTATTACTTTTCTAACATCATCATCTTCTGCGCGAAGTTTCACGATCACTGCACGTCAAACAACAACAGGTCTGCAGCTACTGCGGGGGGAAAAACCGCCTCGGATGTTTAACCAGAGAAAAGCAACAATGAAATATTCCGTTTTGCTACAAAACAAATCCTTCCGGGTTTTCACTGATCGTAGTTTATTGGGCAACTGGACGAGTCTCGTCTATAATTGGGAAAATGTACTGTCAATCAGCAGTAACTCCCACTGACCAATCGCAACATCGCTGAGCTAAATTCAGTGATCTGATTGGGTGTAAAACATCTCATTCATAAACAAGAGAGAATAGACGCCGGTCAGATGGTCCTGGAGTTTAATATCACAAAGGACCCTCCCTACTGCACTGTAAATTTATCTGAATCGGAATTTATTGGAATCGACACCCTCTACTTTAGTTCTATGGACTTATTTTTGTCTAAAGATTTCACTAACATTGCGGGCTTTCTTACGTTTAATTTTAATGTCAAATCTCCCGCTATTGAAATGTCCAATGTTGAAACTTCTTGCAGTAAAAGAGGACAGAAGAGATCACTTTGCTAGGTCAGTTCATATAAACTCCGGTCTAGAAAAGAACCAGATCTCTCACACGCACTTTGAACCTCTGAATTTAAACAGCAAAACTGCTCACAATATCAGACAGGAGCGGCGATCGTGGGTTTATATAATGAGAAATCAGCCTCCGTGTTAAACTATTTAGAATCACAAAACGTCGGATTAATGCGTATCGTCTCTCGGTACGGGTGACTCCATCGTCAAACACATCTCGGAATACAGAACTGTTTACCGATCAAATACAGTTCAGAGCTATTCCTACCTGACGGGTTTTTCACGTGTTCACGGTGAAGCTCAGTACGCTGTCCGAAACAGGAGAATGACTTCCAAAAGGATAAACTCTGCAACATTTCTCATAAACCA